GAAATGAAATGACATTATCATTTTTTATTATAAAAATAAATAAAAGCGTTTTTTAAAAAATAATATACTTTTAATAAATTATATATAAATGATTTTATAATATATAAAAATAAAATAATATATTTTTAATAATATATTTTAAATAATATATAAAAATAGAATAATACATTTTTTTAATAATATAAAAAATAATATATTTTTAAAATAAAATAATATATTTTTAAATTATATATAAAAAATAATTTATTCTTAAAAGTAATATTATTTTTAATATATAAAAAATAATATATTTTTAATAATATATAAAAATAAAATCTCTTGGGGGCAAGTCTGGTTTTTGGGTCCACCGCCGCTATCGTCTGCAATGCCACGGGTATGTGTGCGATAGCAAGACTGATGGAGAAAGATTCTTGAGGATAGAGCTTGGCTGATTAAATAATTTTTTTTAAATTATATATAAATGTTTTTAGTTTTATTTTTGTATAAGTATGTAATATATCTAATTAAAAAATAAATAAAAATAAGCTTTCAATTTTTTTATTTAATTTTTTTTGAAAAAAATGATTTTATTTATATATTTTAATCATGATTTATAATATATATTATATATTTATTTTTTATTATTATTTGTTACTTTTATTTTTTGAAATATTGATTCCTACACACATGGGAATGGGAAAACCTTCCATTTACTACGGAATGACTAATCCCATGGAGATGGGTTTTGCCATTTCCATTGGAATGGTCATTCCTTCCCAAAAAATATACCAATCATGGGATATGGAATGAGTAAAGGAATGATCATTCCATTCCCATGTCATTCATTCCTACCAATCATGCCATAAGTTCCGTAAAGTGCTTATTGGAGATTATTTAATCTTAACTCCTCGATTTTACAAACAACGAAACATAGCTTGTTGGTAAGATGTTTCACCTATGACCGATAAGTCATGGGTTTAAGCAACCAAGTAGGGAAAGTGGCAACACTACTGATCCACCTTAAAGGAAAAAAATAAAAAAAAAAACTCCTCGATTTTACAATGAAATAACTCAACCATTGTGTTATTTTGTCGTGTTAATATTTTAATATGGTGATTTCATGTATTGTAATTATATTTGATAGTAAATATAACTAGTGCAACACCCGTGTGCTACACGGATATTTTTTATTAAAAAAAATATTTTAAAAATTAAATAATTATAACAACATTTGTTTAAAATTAAATATATGTATTTATTAGACTAATTTGAGGTTTTCATTAAAATTAATGAGCCAACTGAGAACTTTTAAAACAATTCAATGTTATATTAGTCAATCAATATCATTACCAAATGTTCCAATACATCTTAAGAGTTATAATAGTCAAGCTATTATGGAATTACCAAGTTAGTTTTTCAATATCTTTGGAATGTTCTAACCTAAAATTATTGATTTAGAATAATATTATTTTTTACCCAAATCAAACTACGAAACATGTTTTTTCGCCAAGTAGGATTCCGAAGCGTGCGAAACTGCCACTTAGGCTCAGCGTATTCCGCAATTATATATAGGGGAGATAACAGTTCAAATATAACTTTTTTTGTGTGTGTGTGTGTTCTTGTGTGTCTTATTTCTGGCAGGGGCAGAGCCACCCATTGGATAGGGGGGATCCAACTCCATGTAAAAAAAAATTACTAACTTTATTTTTAAAAGATTTTATAGATAGCTTCATCTAGTTTTTTATTTAGTGCCTTCTAATTTTGGGCTGGATAACTCAAAATTCAGGTGAATTTTTTCATCTGGTAAGCAACAACTTTCATGGCAACAATAATGGAAAAGTGATAATCGTGCATGAGCAGTGAAAAGGAAGAAGACAATCCTTTATTGTCAAATGACAATTATTCCCTTACTAGATTTTTATCAATTAAAAACTCAAAATAGTAAACTCGAAGTGTCAAGTGACACACTAGAACCAGAAGATTGGACCAACCGCCCTTGTCAACACAAACAAGGGGGTACAAACAACAACAAAGCAAAACTCCAAAAAGGAGAAACAAACTCCATATAGGAGAGAAAAGCAGACAAGCTGCACTAAACGAACCAAAACAACAAACCAAAAACCAAAAACAACTCACACCTAATAAACAAATAAAGAAAATAAGACCTCCCCTAATCCTCTCGGGCAACCGAACACGCTCTCAAATCTACCACCGAAACACACTTCACAGCAAAGAAACCAACCAAGCAACAAATTAGACCCCAGACCCAAAAACTGATGCCAAACTCGAACCGCTTAGACGGATCTGACAAGGAGTCAATCCTTAATCACTATCTGAGCTTCGAAGGACTTCATCACTGAAAAGAGGGAGCCACCACGAAACTTCAGAGGGATCAAAACGAGATCCAAGGAGAGATCGCCTCAAGCTGCCGGCAGTCGAGGGGACGCCCCTCCTTGGCTGTAGAACTAAAAGCCCGAGCACAGATCTCCATCGAATCCGGAAGCTCCCGAGACTGGAAGGAAGTCGAGGCAAATCGGCGACCACCACTGGAGGCGGGGAGCACACCGCAGGTCGGAACTCCCGCAAAGCTCCAGCAGGGGTAGAAATAGTCCTCCAACCACGAATCGGCAAGGATCGGAAAAAAGGCCGGCGCAAAACCGGAGGAGGAGAGAGTGGTCGGACAAAGCCCCACTCCAGGCAAGCAAGGCATGGCGGTGCTGCAACCTTCTCACGCTAACAGAGTGGAGCGGGAAGCACTCCTCCAGCCTCGGCCAAGGCCTTGCCGGGCGCGCAGCCGCTGGAAGAAGAAAAGGGGGGAACACTAAATCTGAATTTTTTGTTTTGCTGCAGTAGAAAGAGGGTTTTTTGGCTCTGGGTCGAGTTAGAGAGAGAAAAACAAAAGTTTTTTCCCCAATTGAGTTTATAATGTGGCACAACACACTTTTACATTATAAATTCTTAATTGACTGACTTGGCATGTACCAAATGAGCTGGATAATTAAACTTGACACACGATTCTCTTGTGAACTATTTAATTGAGTTCGTCTCATTGCGCGTTGTGCTATCCATTTTTGTCTGTTTTATTGTTGATTTCGCATCCAATAATTAATTTGTTCTCATTTCATAGACAAAGAAAAAACTCTAACATAATTGATTGCAGACATGTTCGACTCAATTTGTTTGATCAACAAGTTCGATTAGCTATTTGAGTTTGGCTAATATATAAGCGATTTGAGATTAAGTTTTCACAAGTTGAGTCGAAATATGCTAACAAATAATTTAGTTCTAGTTATGGCCAAACCGATAACGGGGTCAAAATAGCCGGTCCCATGCCGAGGGTTGGAGGGCCCTTAATCAGCCGGAACATGCACGAGCCGGTTTATTATATCGATGATTTCTGGCCACCCGGTTCATTTTTAAAAAATAAAGATATGTTGAACCTCCGATTCGTGTTGCGGATTCGATTCGAAAACAAAACCGTCGATTCAAAATGTATAAAGTATTGAACATGAACTGAATTGGTTAAAACCACGGGCCAATTCAACACCCGTTGTCAACGAGCCGGTTTTATGTCAGTTCGGGCTGAACCGACAGCCAACCAACTGACAATGTCTACTCAGTTTAAATAATAGCTATTATAATATGCAGCATCAAGCAGAAAAATTTTATGACTACTCCCTTATTTGATCAAAACCTTGACCATAATTCGATTCATTAAAATCAATGTTATATACACTTCAATAATATTGGAATATAAAATCTTAAAAGACGTACGTAAATAAAATATTTCATAAATATATTGTTATTAAAAAAAAATAGATCCACCTAACCTAACAACAATACTCATACACCCATTTATGTGGTAACACGTATTGTGTTAGCAATATAATACTGTTAACAAAATAAATTATAAATCATAAAATCTATCGAAATTTAACGTTGTAAATTAATTTTAATGCCCTTGAGGATCAAATAAGCTGTTTTGCTTTTATATCACTGTTTATTTCAATTATTCAAACTATAAATTATTGGAGCGATTAGCAAGAAGAATGTTCAAATGTTAAAGCAGCTAATTATGGCGTCAAGTATTCCTAAATTTGTGCCACGAAAATGAGCTATCGTTTCCCGAAAAAAAAGAAAAAAAGAACTAGGCTTGACTAGGGTCAACTGAACTATCCAATTAGATTATTTTTAACATTATAATAAAGCGATAAAAATTCTGCCAATTTATGGAATTAACATGCCGTGCTAATCATGGGGCGTCCGCGTCCATTATTTTTAACATAATAAAAGGGGAACAAAATATAACGAAAAAATAAGGCGGTATTCAATTGAGTTTTTTTAAAGATTTTTTAAGACTTTAGAAATAAAAATTTATTAAGATTTTTTAACATGTGTTTGACTGCTCCAGTAGTGTAAAATGCTTAAATACTCCAGCTAAACTCGAGAAAATTCGACGGGTACATGAGTTGAGATTCAACTAATCAAGCTAATCTCGAGTCAAATTCAAGAAAATCCAATATCATAACAAGAGCAAAATTTGAGCTTAAACTCGAGTCAAATTCAAGAAATTCCAATATGTTAACAAGAGCAAAAGTTGAGCTTAATCGAGCCAATCTCGAATGCATCATAAAAACGATACGCCAACTTTACCTGTAACTGCAATTCTCACCGCAAATCAACACCCGTATATATATCCATATGAATCAAAGTGTCTGATCAAAGATAAAAATTTCCTTTACTAACACCACCACATTGTTAGATCAATATATCTGTCATACGAAACTGTAATTAGAAAATAAATAACAATAATAATATAAATATAAATNCTTCCCTACACGCCACTACTACCCCCCACCCCAGACACAACCTCTAACAGATATTAACAGAACTTTCCCATTTTACCCCTCCCCCTTTGTTTCTTCCACAGGACAGAAACAAACAGCAAAAACAAAAAATACACAAAATTTAAAATTAAAAAAAAAATAATTAAGTGAAATTACAACTCTCTCCATGACTACCTACATAACTTTCCATGACTCGAGCGTCGGAAAGCTGCAAAACGGGTCAAAATCGATCCCACCTCCGTCGGTAACCGCCGGAGGCGGCTGCACCGCCAGTCCTCCGGCGGAGCTGTCTAGTAGGAACGCGGACGTGTCGAACGTTGGCAGGAGTCCGCCCATCTGGAGCCGATCCACGACCCTGTGTGGCTCCGGCCTCATCATCTGCGCCGCCGCCGCAGTAAGCGGCGGCGGCACCCCGCCCGGGATCCTCACGCCGGTCACCTGCTGCACCATCTGCCTGAAGTTCGCCGCGTCGGCCGTGATGAACGTCGTGGTCGACCGCTTCGACGCCCGCGACTTCCTCCTCTTCGCCACCCCACCGCTGGCCGGAGGCAGGTTCCGCCGCGGTCTCGCGGCAGCCGCCGCCGCCGCCGCAACCTCGCTCTCCGAGCATCCGGAGGCCGACGGAGTCTGGGAGGGCGCCGCGTCCGGAGCGAGGAGGAGAGAATCCACCATATCGACCGGGAAGAAGGCGGCGGAGCCGCCATCACCGCTGCTGTCGGCGGCAAAGGACATCTGAAGAGCCTTCGTTAGGGTGTCCGATTCCCTGGCGTAGATATCCGAAATCCAGGCGTCGGTGAATGTGGGACGGAAACCCCACGGCTGCTCCATCGTCATCAAGTTGTCGGAGGACGCCATTTTTCCCGATCAGAGCTCTGAATGGTTTGAGTATTACCAAAACACCCCCTTTTATATATATATTCGAAAATAAAAGGCACAGCTAGAAAATAACAACACACAAAATTAAGCTGTGAACAATAGAGCTAAGCAAAATTTCAGTCGATATTAATGGAGGACTGTGAGTGTATTCGAGGTTAGAGAGAGAAGGTAGAGATAAGGGGACGAGTATTGGGGAAGGGAAGAGTGAAGGGGGTGAATAAATAGGGCGGTGGTGGGAAAAGAAGGAACCGCGTGCGTTGGGACACGTGGCCGGCTCACATGTACGGAGATTAATCCGTTGTTTAAAACGGTAATTGATTTTAACCTTTGTTTTTTATGTCGTATTATGGGCGCAAATACTTAGGTGTGCCCTGGCACACCAGGCATGTGTGAAATACATTCTCTCTTAAAATCGCGTGAGGTAAGGTAATAAGGTATGCAAGTTTTTTTTTTTGTTTAAAAAAGACAAGTGTCCAATATATATTGGATAATAAATTTTACATATCATATTATACAAATTAAATTATTATTCACATTTTATATTAAAAAATAAAAAAAATACCAAAATTCATAATTTTTCAATCTCTACAAATAGAGACCACATTTGATAAGTTTTGGAACACAATTAATTTATCATTTTTTATAATTAAATTATCTTTTTGAAAGCTGATGACACAAATATATAATAAGATGAACATGTTACATACTAAGATGCGCATGTTATATAGTAAAATGAACATGTTATAGAATAAGATGAAAATGTTATAATTTTACAGATGGAATTTAGATGAACATTTTATACAATAAGATGAACATGTTACATAATAAGATGAACATGTTACAGAATAAGATGAACATGTTACATATTTACACAATAAGATGAACATATGAACATGTTATATAGTAAGATGAACATATGAACATTGGAACACAATTAATTTATCATTTTTTACAATTAATTTATCTTATTGGAAGATTATGACGCAAATATATAATTAGATAAATATGTTACATAGTAAGATTAACATGTTATAGAGTAAGATGAACATGTCATAGAATAAGATGAAAATGTTGCATTTTTCAGAGATGAAATTTAGATGAACATGTTACATAATAAAATGAACATGTTATAGAATAAGATGAACATGTTTAGATTCCATATCTACATCACGGGCTCTCACATTATTTTCTCCAATTTCCACTTCATATATAAAATTCTGGTCAATTTCTTGCTCGACTTTCACTCGTTTAATGCAAGCATCTCCGCCCTGAAATAATAAACCATAATCTACAGATAAGAACTCAAATTTATGCAATAGTCATACTATAGGGAATGAAAGTGAAAAACTAGTAGAATGTAAAAGAAATTCCATAAATTAGTCTTTTGATCAAATATCCTCCACCTTCACAAACCAAAATCTTCACTAATAAGATGAAAATGTTACATTTTTCACATATGAAATTTAGATGAACATGTTATAAAATAAGATGAACATGTTATAAAATAAGATGAACATGTTACATAATAAAATGAACATGTTATAAGATAAGATGAACATGTTACATAATAAAATGAACATGTTATAGAATAAGATGAACATGTTACATAATAAAATAAACATGTTATAGAATAAGATGAACATGTTTAGATTCCATATCTACATCACGGGCTCTCACATTATTTTCTCCAATTTCCACTTCATACACAAAATTCTGGTCAATTTCTTGCTCTACTTTCACTCGTTTAATGCAAGCACCCCCGCCCTGAAATAATAAACCATAATCTACATATAAGAACTCAAACTTATGCAATAGTCATAATATAGGGAATGAAAGTGAAAAACTAGTAGAATGTAAAAGAAATTTCATAAATTAGTCTTTCGATCGAATATCCTCCACCTTCACAAACCAAAATCCTCTCTAATAAGATGAAAATGTTACATTTTCACAGATGAAAATTACATGAACATGTTATAGAATAAAATGAACATGTTACATAATAAAATGAACATGTTATAGAATAAGATGAACATGTTACATAATAAAATGAACGTGTTACATACACAATAAGGTGAACATGTTACCAAAAAACGAAAATTAGTTGTGTTCAAAAACCTATCAAATGTGGTCTCTATTTAAAGATAATGAAAAATTATGAATTTTGATATTTTTATTTTATTTTTTTAATATAAATAATTAATGATATTTTAATTTATGTAATATGTCTCATTTTTTCATTAAAAAAGAAAAATTGGGAGAGTGCACTACACCTTCTAAATTTTCTAACTTTTTGAGAGTGAGGGGCGCGTGTAATACTGCCCTGGCACACCTAGCTAGGTGTGCCAGGGCACACGGTAGTGGTACTGGTATTATGGGGGTTAAAGTTCGTGTCAAGGCATCCACATCCCTTTAACACAAATATCATTCATTTAATAAAAAAGTAACTCTCTCTCTCATCCACATCATCTCTACTTCATCTTTCCACTAAATCTCTCTCCATTTAAACACACACTCACATTCCTACACATTCATTTAAATACATATATGGGACCCATTATCCACTCATTCAATATAAATTTTTATATTATATTCTCAATAAAAATAAAATTTAATATTTTATAATTATAATAATAAATTTTAAATGCATGAAAATGAAATAACATTACAAGACCAAAATGACTAAAATTAAGATTACACAAGAAAAAAATAATACAATTACAAAAAATATTTATTTTAGTTGTTGGAAAAATGAGGTGTATTTATAGACAAAGAATGAGGGATAGAAAATATAAATTATTGATACATATTGGGAATTATGATATAAATAAAAAATAAGTTAAATATAAAAACAAAAAGAAAAAAAGATTAATTAAGTAATGATTTTAAAACAAAAAAAAGGGAAGTAAAAGGCGTTCAGCCCATTGAACGTTTGTGCGGGCCCCTCATTTTAATGGATGAACCACATCCGTGTTTAACGCTTCGGGGGCGTTTAAACGGACAAAAGAATGAAGCGATGCAGGTGCCCTTAGTGCTTAGTGGGAGTTAATTTTGAGTGTGGCTTAAAAGCAACCGTCTTTTGGCATAAGCTATTAGGGCATCCATATTCCTTAACACAAAAATCATTTATTTAATAAAAAAAGTAACACTCTTTCTTATCCACATCATCTCCACGTCATATTTCCATTAAATCTCTCCATTTAAACATACACTCACATTCTTACATATTCATTTAAATATATATGTGGGACCACAATTATCCATTCATTTAAAGAAAAAGCAAGCAAATTGCATTAAAATTAAATGTAAAAAAATAAAAAAATAAGAAAAGGCCCACTAGGGGCGTTGAAAACTAAAAATAAAAATAAAAAAAGGCTTAAAAGAGTCGTTCATTCAATTAAACGGAGACAAGAACCCCATCAATTAATGAACGCACGCAAAGCATTAAATGGGGCAAGGATCATTTAAACTGGCTGAATGAATGCTCAATGCGGATGCTCTTAAGCTCTTGTTTGGTTGTGAAAAGAAAAAAGAAAGGTCGTGAAAATTGAGCGACCCCTGTCACATTGTGACCTTGGGTCGCGACCTGTATATTGTATGAGAATAGGATGTTTGCTCGGCCCAACAATTCGCCAATCGACTGTGCGTCCTTGGCCTCAAGGAGTTGTGAGCAGCACAGAACTTGTTTCAATCCAAAGTGTCTCATTTTGTTTGGATAAGTGTATTGTTTTATTTTAAATTAAATCAAAGAACTATGTACTTAAACATAATTTAATTTCTTTCCACTTTTGTTTTTAGCTATTACTCCCTCTTTTTCTTTTTAGATGTCGTTTTAATTTAAAACTTCTAAATTACGATTTTAATGGGTTGTGTAATAATCTTATATTTTAATCTTATTTAATTTAGTTTTTATATTATTAATGGGTGGTTTTTAAAGATAATGATAAAAGATAAAGTTTGTTAAAGGAAATAAAATTGTAAGAATGAATATAATATTTCCAACGACAACTAATTTGCAAAAAGGTTGACAACATAAATGACTTTAGGTAGCGCCATTTATGGTAATACTTTACAAAGTATTGGTTTATGTATCTTATTATTGTAACACTTTTAAAATAAGTGTTAGCAGAAACTAGCAAAAGTATCATATAAGTGTTACCAAAAACTACCAAAAGTATTACCTTTGACTTTAGATAGCACAAACAACTGCAGCGCCAATATTGTGTTACCTATTGTATATAGGTAAAATTTTTACGTATCATTTCTTTGGTGCTACCTAAGCCATTTATATTGTAGTCCTACAACGACATCTAAAAAGAAACATAAATAGTATGCATTTTTCGTCTTGTACTTGTGTTTATTTTTTGTTATATAATAAAATCAACTCCATTGTTCATCTGATTAATTGTGTTCTAGACAATATATGACTATGCTAGACTTCTATTATAATATTTAGTATGTAACAAAATTTATAGATTTCACAATTAGTTTAGATATTCATTGATTTTCAAAAAATGATATTTTAGTGTATGAGAGTATTGTATCTCATTTATTTGTGTTCATGACAAATGAAATGGCATATGAACTTTAAATGACATGTCATATAACAAGAATGACGGACTATTATATCATCACATAGTAGCCTTTATAACAAAATTATGTTATTTTTCTAATTAAATTCAAGTTTACGAGAGAAATTGTCTTTGTAATTTTTGAATAAAAACAATAAATCAGTTACAAATAATCATTTATCATATATATAAAAGAGTCCTTGATAATTCACAAGGTTTACTTAGGGTCATCTACTGATAAAACAAAACTAGAATGGATACTAACTGATATTTTTATTTTACAAATTCAACATTAATATTTTAGTATTATTTACTATGCGATTCATGTAATTTATATTAAATATTTAAAATTTATTTCATATATTGACTTCTTTATACATGCATCTGGCAAAATAATTTGACTCGAGTACT